TGCATTCGGTCTGCCGCAACTGCCCTCACCTGAGGGAACCACAGGCCCGCGAGCGAATGCATTGCACATGGCTTGTACTGTTGATGCAAAAGCAGACCCCAAGTGAATGAGCAGCGGGCTCTGGAGCCGACGCGCGACGCTTTGAGCCCATAGGTACTGTGGATCGGGGGCCACGTTGAACAAATCCGAGCTGCTAATGCAGTGTCCTGCGTGACGGTGTCACTGGGCAAGCGCTCTGGGCAACAGAATCAACGGCTGCACGGAGGTCCGCTTCTATGCCAAGATGGTCCGCAAAGGCCCTGGAATCCACAAAAGATGACAGCTCAAAGCCCTTCGCCACCTCCACAGCTCGGCAACAAAAATGAGCAATACGGAGTTGCAGATCAGACGGATGGCTCAGCTGTGCAATCACGCCTCGCCCACTGGTGAACGTCCACAGGACCTTGCGTCGGTGGTCACGACGGCCGCTTTTGCCGCCGCGCTGACGCTGCCCGCTGCCAGACTCCGTGATTGCGACAACAATTGACCTCAACCCAGAGTCCTGTAGCCCACCTCGCAATCAATCCAAGAATTTTTGGTGCTGACACTTAGGTCGCGGGTGGCGCGATCGCTAAGTCAATGTCTGAGGTTGGAATTGGAACTCTCGATTGGCCGAATGCTGTGTCTTTGCAGGAAGGTTGGAGTAAACCTGAGCGGATGTCACAAGAAGTTGGGAAGGCTACTACCAGCCTTGCCCAAATCAGTGTTACACGTCTAGCCCGCAGGATGCGAACGCCAGACTTTTGAAGAATTGACGAATATGGAAGACAGATGCGGTAATCAAGCAATACACAGTGCCACCTGGGTCGCACAGTGCGAACACTAGGGTACAGCTTGCCGTTGCTGTTGGTTTTTGAATCGGGACAGACGGGGCGCAATGGCTCAAGTTGCTACCTACGGCCGAACACTCAGTAGATACGTTTCCTGTTGGCTTGCGGACCTCGCTGAGACACATACTATCCTGACACATGCTGCGATGATGAATTGTCAGGAACTTGGAGCATGGATTCAGCTCATGTGATATGAGAATATGCGTACGGTGTCACCCCTCTTGAACAAGGCATGGCCAGTCGCAACTCCAACCCTCGCCAGGAGGAAGGCAGGGTTCGTCGTCACGTGCTGTTGGCCCGACGGAAGCTTCTGAGCGGGAGCAGAATCGGAGTCAGAGCCATGGCTGGAGGAAAAGCAAGTCTCAACACTGCGATGTCGCAGAGCTGAGAACAGCGCGGCTGAAAAACTTTCAGGGAGCTCTGAACCCATTCGTTGCACCAACCTTTCAGTGTGTCGGATCTCGTTCTCTCACTCCGAAGGACACGTCGGCGCTGTGCTTTGCATAAAACAGCCGTTCACTTCAAAGCATAGTTTCCTTCCCGGCACATTCATGTCCTCACCCAACACGGACATGGCAGCTAACAATGGATATTGCAATCCGAATTCTGCCGATCTTGCCTTGCGCCTCCCAAGTTCAGTGATTTCAATCAACAAAACATGTGGGTCCTTTCAGGCCAAGAGCTTGAGCCAAAATGGCTACTTAGGGGTAAGGGCTTTGGGTTGATTTGCAATGGTTTTATGGCTTTTATGTGGTCTCGTGTGTTATAGCGATGTGTGGGGATTTAGGTTTGCTTGCGGATCGGGTTTTCGGTTGGTTTAAGGTCCGGGTGCTACTCTACATGGTGTTACTGTATGCTGGAACCAGAAGGATTCACTGTTTTTGGGGGAAGCTTTTGGGCATGCTCGAGGCATGGGGGTTTGGAGGCTTTAGGGTTGAGGGTTGAGGGTTCACGGCTCCAAGGCGGTTCCCCAAGAAGTTGTAGGCAACCCCATACAAACTCTTACACAACCCTGATTATAAGCCGTTCTGAGTCCTAAGATCACATTTACAGCCGAAACTCGCTCCCGAAAGTAGTTTGGGCCTGCTCCCCAAAGACTCCAACGTCGCTTGGTAGGGAATTTACATTGAAGCATAGAGTGCCCCCGCAAACATGATTTCAGGGATATTCCTTACTTAATCTGCTGGGCATTCGAAGTTTGCGGTTGGCTCCTGATTGTCTGCAGAACGCTAAACCCTAAGCCCTAAGCCCCTAAACCCTAAGCCCCTCAAGCCTAAACCCGAAACCCTAAACCCTTAACCCTAAATCCTAAACCCTAAACCCTAGGCCCCAAAGATAAGTCTTCGAGGCCTTCTTCTGCAGAGCTTCGCCTTTTTTCAATTTCGGATTCCGCCAAAGTCGCGACGGCTCCCCGGAGACTCCAACAGCTTCGGAACTGACTACTCAAAGGATCATGGGACTTAGGAATAGCTAGGCCTGGTTACAAATAAGGCGGTTGTACTTAAAAATTGCGCATAACCCCCAACTAAGGTACTTGCAACCTTGCTTACTAAGTCCCATGATCCCTAGAACCCTGAACCCTGAAAGATACCTTTTCGATTTCTTTAAGGAACCACAACCCACGCCCCAAAAGCGCACAGAAACGACTGAGGTGAGGTCTCTCTTCATCGCGTCCTTTCGGGCGACTTCTGCTTGACTTAAACTACCCAGAGAGCACAATAACGCTAAAGGAACATGGCTTCAATCATGAGATGCAGCCCAGTATAATTTAAGGTAAACTCCTAATTACCAGGTATTGGGCTCTCTGGGTACACTCGTTGATTGAAGGGTTGTGAAGGTCTGGGTGTCCTGTATGTAAGAGCCTATTCAGCACCGTCGTGGTGAGACATGATGAATGCGTGCACGTTGTGCTAGTAATCTTGGTCGTGCTACGGTATGCAATCTCCAATCTCACGGATGTGTGCAATGGCCCAACCATCCTGCACATTAATGCTACGCTATGACGTCGGCAATCTTGGGACGTCGCACCCTCAATCCGAAAGCACAAATCCTAAACATTCAGATCTAGCTCAGCCCAATGCCCCAACGCTGCAATTCCAGGTCTAACCCGATAGGCAAACTAAGGTCGGACAACAGCCCTAAGTCCCAAACCCTAGTCTAGGATTCAGGATTGAGGAGTTTCGGGTCTCGGGTTTTGTGAACTTTGCCACCTGCCTGGTTGACCGAGGTGCACAAGACAACGCGAGATGCAAGGTTTTAGGGTTTAGGGTTCAGGGTTTAGGCCTTAGCAAGATCTAATCTGCCGGAGCCGCAAAGGCCTAACTCAATTTTGGGTGCCTGGAAGTTTGTCGAGCTTCGGGGTATATCGTAGGGACTACTTAGAGGATCATGCGACTTAGTAAGTAAGGGTGTGCGTAAGTAGGTCTTAACTAGGGTGACCCGACTTAGGGGACTTGTAACCCCCCTAACAACCGTCTTACTTATTCCCGTGATCCTTTAAGTATAAGGGAATCCAGTACTGCTCCACCACAATAGCAAATCAACAAGGCTCAGGTTCTTTGACGAGTTCTGAAGATCATCCAGGGTCGTAAGTCCCTCAACTGGTTTACTGTACCTATAACCCTACTCGTAATTAGCCCAAACCCTAAACCCTAAACCATACACCTGAACCATAAACCCTAATGCCTGCCGTTCGCAAAAACAGCCCAGGAGGCGCCCGCAAACCCTGAACCCAAAAGCTTTAGGGTTTAGGATTTCGCGTTTAGGGTTTAGGGTTCGGGAGAGATTCACTGCAAACCCTCGTTATCCCTTCTGGCAACTTCGATGGAAACTGCTCTGAACCCTCTGGAATCTCTCTCCCTCTCGCTCTCTCTCTCTCTCTCTCTCTCTCTCTGCCGTTGCATCCAGAGGGTCTGGGAATTATTGAACATTTTTACTGTTTATACCACATGCTGTTTCATGTCATAGAGCCCAGGACTAGGATTCCCACCTCCTCCCGTCGATGCACCGGAAGGCGAATCTGTGGAGCCAACACCGAGCAGCGGGAATATCGCTGTTCATGCTTGGACAAATGGTTGAAGGCCTCTGCCCAGAGCGCCCAGTACCCCTTAATTAAGGAATATACTTTAAATTATAAGGGGGCTCATATTATGATTCATGATTTAAGCTATATTCCTTAATTAAGGGGTATTGGGCTCTCTGCGACTGTGTTCCGGAACAGCTGGTACGTTCTGGAGGATTTCTTCAAAGCGGGGGAATCTATTTGTGACAGCTGTCCAGGGAGGGGTTTACATAGATCCTGTGGTCCTATCCCCCGAAGGAGGGGCCGACTGGAATTGCGCAGACTTGCCGCTGCATGACTTCCCAGAGCCTCCAAAACCCCTTAATTAAGGAATATACCTTAAAGTATATTAGGGATCCTACTATGATTTAAGGTATATTCCCTGATTAAGGGGTTTTGGAGGCTCTGGGTTCTCGACCCTAGATGCAACATCCTGGACAATGACGTGGCTCTTTCTCAGCAACATCAGCCCGCGCTTCGCATCGAGCAAGTTTCCCAGAGAGCCCAATACCCCTTAATTAAGGAATATACCGTAAATCATGATAGGATCCCTAATATAGTTTAAGGTATATTCCTTAATTAAAGGGTTTTGGAGGCTCTGGGAAGTTTCTAGAGTCCACAGCGACCCATGGACGTATGCGCTGCCGCCCGAAAATTTCGGATATCGGGGTTCATGTTACCCTGATATGGCAGCACTGGTTGAAACCTACTTGACGAGATGCATCAAAAAGCAAAGCTCGCTCCAACGATCCACTTCGGGATCAGGCATGATTTGCCCAGAGAGCCCAATACCGCTTAATTCAGGAGGAATATAGCTTAAATCATAATATGAACTCCCTTATAATTTACAGTATATTCCTTAATTACGGGGTATTGGGCTCTCTGGGAGACTGTCGATTGTTCTGCTGCCTCTTCGCTCTTCGAGAGCTGGGGATCTACCTTGGTGCCTCAGTTGGGAGTTTGGGTTTGGGTGGGCCGCACTCACGAGAGGCCCCAGACAAGGATTCACTACTTCGGATTTGAAAATGGAAAATCTTTAAAAAAAACTGCCTGGAACATGGGCTTGCGAATCAGAAGGCTTCCTCGATCATTTCCTCGAGGTCGTCATTCTGCAAGAGGGCCAGTTGCACCACACTCCTGCAGTCCTGGAGCTGCCCCTGGAAGGCCTTCAGCACGAACTCCGGAATGGTTTGCCCCTCTGCAAAATCCATCACCGAAGCCCCGCCCGAATCCTGGAGATCCAGCCGCGCTCCTGAAAGAATAAGCGCGGAGGCCCCATCATACTGCCTCGCTTGTTCGGAGAGCCCGATACCCCTTGATTAAGGAATATTATAAGGGGGTTCATATTACGATTTAAGCTAGATTCCTTGATTAAGGGGTATTGGGCTCTCTGGGTGCTCTTGAGTTCCATGTCGCACACAGGCGCACAAGAACCAATAGAGCAAATAACCCAGAGAGCAAGCGAGGAAACGTTCTGATGCTTACATTAACAATCAAAAACCAGCAAACGCGCGCATGCATGCTGACATGCCTGTATTGCCTACGCGCGAAATTGCGAAGTCTACCACGAATGTTCAACACATTTGTGGGAGTTTTCGAGAATAGGGGACCCTAATAAAGTACCCGAAATACTAGTAGGATCCTTATCAAAAGGACCCCAAAATAGGGTACCCCTAATTATCGGAAAGTCCCATTTCAGGAAGCTAAGCTGAACCATTCAGCTGCGGCGCCCTGACATGATGGCATTCATCAGCGGCGTCCATTCGTTTGCTCGATATGCGATTGTGGTCAAAGGGGTGACCCTGCCACATCTGTACTGGAGAGACTTCACAGCAAAGAGGATTCCTTTGCATCGCCGGTGGCATTCCAACACTCAAGACAGAGAAGCTACCCAAAGCATTCGTCATGTATGCAACATCCTATAAGAGAATCCTCATGTCTAACTTGTGAGCTCCTTACTCCAAGGATGCCTTTAAGACATAAGCCAACAGCCCTCAAAAATGCCCAAGAGTAGTGCCAGGGTCCGAGCGGTGACAGCAGGGGGAAGTGGGACCTTTCGTTCACATCCGCCCGCATCGCAATCAACTGCAAGGCCATTTGAGGCGTACCTGGGCTCTTGTTCAGGACATTGGAAATTACCCTACAACTGTAAAAGCTCTACTGTCTATTCCTACAATGGTAACTTACAATAGTCTCCAGAAAGAACGCAGTGCCCCCGCGGAAGAGCATGGCATAGGAGAGACAATCCTGAATGCCGCATTCGAGGGACTCAGCTTTGTTCGGCTCTGCAGTTTGGTTTGAGTCTCAGTGTTTAGGATTCAGGCTTACCCAAATTATCATGCGACGTAGTAACTAGGGTTATAGATAAGGGAACTATACTTAGAAATACCTAGGAGCCAAATGAAAGCACCCACAACCGTACTTACGAAGTCCCGTGATCCTCCAAGGAGGGTTGGGGAAATCCTCCAGGTCTGGTGTTCAGGCTTCAGGGGTGTAGACTTAAGGGTTTAGGGTTTAGGGTGTAGACTTATGTGTTCTTGGCTCCAGGGTTGTAGGTTTCAGGACTTAAGGCATCGGGCTTCGGCTTTCAAGTTTTTGGGCTTCAGTGTTCCTTCAAGGGCACTTAGGACTCTTGCGAGATCTCAGCAAGGAGCACTGCCTGCGCAGCTTGTTTAGGACGGATGACGGCATCGCTTGGGGTTCTAACTTAGAGGATCATGGGACTTAGTAACTAGGGTGATAAGTAAGGTAACTATACTTATAACCCCAATTAAGGTACTTATAACCTTACTTTCTAAACGCCATGATCCTTTAAGAAAGGCTGCAACAAGCAAAAAGCTCTTGGGAGCTGCCCAGCGCACAGTGCCCAACGAATCTGGAGAAAAACATACCCCAATGCTATCATATTCGGATTGAATAAGTCCTAAGGTTGCCAACCCTGGGGCGCAGTCTGCCCTTCCCCCAATGCGAAACAACCTTCCTGTAGAGTTTAGAATCCGACCCCCTAAACACAGAATCCCTCGATCGGACAGTCATCGGAATCCTACACTAGACGTCGATTTCACCAGTCCCCAAGATTCTTTGTGATTAAGGCTCTATACTAAACAAGAAGGTAACTTATGGATTATCCCGATTCGGTACCTAGTACCCAAAGGCTCCAAAGTAGTTCCTTTTTGGGATTACCTTATAGGATTCTAGATATGAACCTCAAAAAGGAACTACTGTGGAGCCTCTAGGTAAAGGTAAAGATAGTCCTTATAATAAGGATCCTACTATGTAAGTTACCAGTTTAGGGTGCCCTATTTTCGGAAACTCCCAGAAAGGACCTAGTAAAGATAGGACTCTTTAGCTAAACCCTAAACCCTAAACCCTAAGTAAAGATAGGACCCCGTGTCCCGGAGGTGAACAGCACCTCGCGCCGCAAGCTCCTCGATGGCGGCCCGTGCACCAAACCTTAGGGCTAGACTCTTAATTAAGGAGTATTCCTTAAATCATATTAGGGATCCTATTATAATTTAAGGAATTTCCTTCAATCATATTAGGGATCCTATTACAATTTAAGGTATATTCCTTAATTATGGGACCTTACTTGGAGGGCCTTTAGGGGACTTAGTATAGGGGCTCCTTTAAAGGAGGATTCTAAGGGCTCCTTTAAAGGGCTCTATAGGGGTACTATAGGGTTCAGGGATTAGTAAGTAGGTAGTAAGTAGACTTATAAGTACCCGAAAAGGGGCCCTAATTGGGGCTATGGTACTTTTAAGTCCCTAGAATAACCAGTTACTTAGCTTGGACTCTCGCAACTCGGACCCTCGCGGCTGCTGCCTAAGGTTTAGGGTGTTGGGTTTCGATTTTAAGGGAGCTGGTAGGGATTCTCAAAGCCTATAAACCCTAAACCCTTTCGGTTTAGGGCCTTGGCTGTTTAGGTTTAGGATTTAGGCTTAGCATTTTCAGGGCACAGAGCCCGGCGCTCCAACGACTAAAGCTACGAGGCCCTTGCATGCCCAGCGCGGTCCTAGCAACACGGGTTATCCTCTACAAAGGTTCCTAAACCCCCAAAACCCATGATCCTTAAACTTAAACCCTCTGAACCCCAAACCCTTAAAGGAATCCATAACGACTTAGGATTTCGTGTGTCATCCTTGCGCAGGGGCCATGCCGAAGGGAGATGTTGGGTTCAGGGTTTAGGGGCTCAGCGGTTTACCTAGGGGTTTAGGGTTTAGGGTTTGGGGTTTAGGGGTTTCTTTAAAGGGATCTATAAGGGTTCCTATAAGGGTTCGTTTAAGGGATCTATAGGGTTTGGGGGTTTAGGGTTTAGTGTGTGTTCGTTCAGCATCATACTCTGTGCGTTCAGGGCCTGCAGTGTTTGCCACGGACGGGCTTAGGATGTTAAGCAGTTGGGATTGAAGCATGTGTCAGCTCGAGCCTGCAGAGAATCTCAGAGTATCGCGGCTGGATTTAGAGTTTGGGGCGTGTTGCGTTCGCGGTCCAGGGTGGATTGCGTCTGGCGCGTAGTGTATGTAGTATATACCCCTCGAGGTCCAAAGAGCTATCATCTTTCCGCGCCTAGATGCAAGATCTAAACCGTCTGGCAGGGACAAGGCAGCACTTGGCAAAAAAGTTGCCAAAATGTGCAAATCTACATGTATGCTTGCCCAAGACCCAAACACATAAGTGCTGGCTGGTCAGGTACCCTTTGCACCCAAACCCTACACCCCGAAATCCCTAAGGCTAGATCCTGGATAAAGGCAACGTGCACCCGATGCACGTGCTTCAAATCGGCACCCGTTGAAAGCTTAGGAGTTTAGGTGTCAGGGGTCACGGGTTTAAAAGGGCTTAGGATTTAAGGTTTAGTTGTTCAGGGCTCTGTGTTTAAGGCCTATAGGGCGTACGGGCATAAACATTGAGGTGCTTTGGTGGTTATGTTTCAGGGGTTGAAGGTTCTGTGTGCTTCTGCGTTGATACAGAGAGCCCCCACTGAGAAGTTCAGAATGCAATCCTTCTTACGCAGGCTTGATTCTGATTGGAGCTACCCTGGCCAGGTTCCCTGCAGGACAGAACCCAACCCTTTCTTGGACGAGGTCTCTCTAAAGTGCCTCCGGCAGTATGATTTACCTCAACCCAAAAATAATTCTTTGCCCTAAACCCTGAATAGCCCTAAACCCTAAACCCTAAACCCTAAACCCTGAATAGCCCTAAACCCTAAACCCTAAACCCTAAACCCTAAACCCTAAACCCTAAACCCTATCCCACTCCTTTTCGCCTGCTTCTCCAAGGTGTCCCAAGTCGTCGTCGGCATTTTGCCGGCGTCTGCTCGCCACGGCAGTTCCTGCCGTGAGAGCGAAAAGGTTGCACACGGGTACCCGAAACCACTAGGGGGAGGCACTAAACCCTAAACCACTAGGGGGATCGAGGTAACAGTGCTGAAGCCGCCTCTCGGGCGGGCGGGAGGGGCCGAAAGTTCTCAGAGGTCGAATGTGCTCATGCGGTTGGGATATATTGCATCCCACTCCTTTTCGCCTGCTTCTCCAAGGTGTCCCAAGTCGTCGTCGGCATTTTGCCGGCGTCTGCTCGCCACGGCAGTTCCTGCCGTGAGAGCGAAAAGGTTGCACACGGGTACCCGAAACCACTAGGGGGAGGCACTAAACCCTAAACCACTAGGGGGATCGAGGTAACAGTGCTGAAGCCGCCTCTCCGCTTCCACAGTGCTTGCCGCACGCGGCACAGACGACGCGGTTACCGGCGAACGCTTGCACACTCGAGGAGCCGACCGGCAAAGCTGCTAAGAGTAGCTATGCGCTCTCGGGAGGACGCTGGGAGCTGTTGAAGGAGCAACTGAGCAGCCACCTCCTGGAGGTAGAACTCGACCGTCTTGAGTTTACTCCAGCGGCCTCTCCAAGCCACCAACTGCACGTCTTCGGTTTCCATGTAAAGGTGCGTAGCGCCGCTCCCACGCAGCACCCCAGGTGTTGCCCCACGCTGCGCCTGAGTGTGGGGCACTTCAAGGCGCGACATGATGGCATTCCATTGGTTACGGTAAGTGCTGAGAGAGCCCCGAAAGATTCGCTCGTGCAAACCTAAGTGCTGGTACCTGGCTACAAGAAAACGCAAGGTGTGAGCATCCTCAAGTCGAGAGTGTTGCCTCCGAGCGAAACGGGCCGTTTTAGGGTTGCGCACATGAATGTAAGCCAGCACGTCCGATGACATCATGTCTTCAGGGAGCACGAGGTCGCTCCGCTGCAGACACACAAGCTCGGAAGGATGCAGCATACACAAGAAACCCACTAAGGTGACAGCGACCCAGTCAAACCAACCCCAAAGGAGCCCTACAGAAACCGAAGCTAGGAGGATGGGCTTGGAGATCACCGGCCTGCATTCGCCAGGTTCGACATGCTGCCATTTCTTGTCGATCTGCCACGCAGGCGTAAGGTGATTGCGGAATGCCGGAAATGCGTCTTGAACGGCCGTAATGGCATACACAAGCAAATAGCGAGGATGACCTTCGGCATACAGGTGAAGCCCGAAGGCGCGCAGCGCAGTAGCTGCCGACTCGGCGCACGACATAGCCGCTGAGAACGAGAGGTTCAAACTGACGGCTAACCACAGCTTAAAAGCATCCAGGCTCTTCGTCATCTTGTGACGAGTGGAGGCAGCAAAGCCGGACGACAAGTCGAGGGGCCCACGAGGCTCACGAACAACCGGGCCTGGATGGCGTTCGATGTCCCCGCCTAAAAGCAGTAACAGCCGGAGCCACCGACCCGCAAGCTTAGGTACTCTGGCAGCTGCGAGGCAAACGTCGAAGCGGTAAGTCTTGCCCTCACAAAGCTCACTGAGCCAAACCGGCCACTCTTTGGACGGCGGCGCCACACTTCTGCCCCGCGAAGGACCATCGCTGCGGTTGGCCTCGGAGTAAACGTGCAACCCACCAGGGTACAGGCCTCCGCCGAGTACGTACGGGAGAGCAGTGAGGAGCACGCGGCCGAGGGCCGCACTGCTCGACCTGCCCTTCGCTGCAGCCCCTAAGAGAACCCGACTATCTATCAACCCTAATGCCCTCGATCGACGATGCCGGCGGCACAAGAATTTAAGCCAAGTCTTGTAAGACCGGGCCTCTTGAACGTTGATGTGCCCCTGCCGTGCAAAGCGATAACGGAGGATTTCAGAAAATTCAAGACAATCGGCGAGCTCACCGATCCACTCCGGATCGTCATGGAAGGCCCTGAGCTCGGCAACATCCTCCGGACTGTTTTCGTCAGCGTCAAAACAGACCAACCCTAGCTTGCGAGCGCACGCCATCTGCGCCGACAGAGGCAAGGGACGACCGAACCCCCTCTTGGCCTCAGCACTCTCAGCGGCCAAGCGTTGGCAGAGACGCACAGGCGTGACCGAGGCCAAGCTATGCAAACTCTCGCCGGCAACCGGTTCGCGACCGAACACCGCCGAAACACAGGGCCGGCAACGGTCAGTGACAGCTTGAGCACGCAGTCCTGTGAACGAGCCTTCCGCACGAAGATGCGGCTCCGTACAAGTACAGGTCGCGCCTCCCGCGGCTGACAAAACCCAAGGTTTGTTGTGGAGCCAGCACGAAGGTCGCTTAAACGGAGAACCGAAACTACAGCTACAGACCTCTGAAACGGCAGACCCTAGGTAGGCCAAAGTCCTAAAACCGTTAAGGCCGAAGAGAAGACTGCCCTCACCCTGCACCACACTGAAGAAACGCCCCGTCCTGTGGATCAAGGTCAGCAGCAAACTCAAGCGCCGAGCCAGGCGGTTGTCAAGCGCCACCGCAGGGTGTTCAGGACTAAACCCGAGGGGGCAACCCAGGGACCTAAGCTTAGGGGACCGGAAAGGGCTGAAGCTACGGGCTGCAGGCTCAAAGTGCCATTCACGGATGATGCCACGAGCCGCTAGAGCTGCCAGCTGTGACCAAACAGCGCAATCGGCCAAATCTGCAAACAAGATGGGACGCCCGGCAGTGTGAATGCCCGGGTGAGCAACTAAGCCTGCGGCTGCGTGCGCTGCAGCCCACGTGCCCCCAGTTGAAAAGCACTCAAGCGTGTCGTACAGAACCCCCTCGCCCATAGCGGGAGGCAAAGGAAACACTGCCGTCGGGGCCTCAACAGGCTCGGCACCAAACACGGCTTCAGGCTCGAGGCCCTTTTCACGCAGAAGTGCAGCAGCAGGCGATTCTAAGCGAGTGTAGTAGCCCTTTTGCTCGGAATGCCTCCACAGCTCAGCAACCACAGAGGCCGGCAGTGGAGCCGCACAGATGCCCGCGCCGGTGGGAGACGCATCCATGCAAAAGGCGGCCGGTGTAAAAGAAACCCGCATGTCCGTCTGAACAATAGGTCCCAGAATCACCAAAGCTTGCAGCTCATTAAGAGTGTTGCGGCTGAGGGCAAACACCGAAGTGGCAGGTGTGTGCCTGCTGTCAGCAAACGCACAATCCAAGAGAGCAAGCATTGGCCGGCGATACATAAGGACATGAATCCAGAGCCCCAGCAAAGACGCTAAGAAAGCGCCCGAGCACGTGCCGCGACGCACGACCTCGGCAGTGATGGTCATCAGCACAGCAATCCGATGTCTAGGAGCGGACACCAAACCTTTGATGCCATCAATTTCGGCACCGAGGCAAATGCAAGAAGTCTGATACCGGCGGCGTTTGCGCGGATGTTGCACCAAACCAACCTCAGCGTAAGCACCCTCAGCCTTACTGAAAATTTCAGAATCGCGCTTCGGCTCACCACGCGCCAGCTCTGCACGCGTGACCTTTTGAGCCACCACGTGGTCGTCGATAGCGAGGTACTCGGCCGTGTCACCACGGGGGTACGGCATGCGATAAGCAGCAACCTCAGAAGCACGCATGGAGCCGGCGAGAGTAGCCAGAACGTTGTAGTGCGATTGCTGTGCAATTTCCACCGCCATAGCATCTCCCATAGCGAGCGCAGCCAGTGACAGGTAAACCGGAACGGAATGCAAGGCAGCAGAGAAGCATCTGAAATGCGAGACTTCCCAAGGTGCGAACTTCATGCGGATGGCGTTCCTTGCAGCTCTCAAAGGAGGCACCCGAAACGTGTAGTACATCTCGGATAGATCATCCGCCGACACTCGGAGGCACTCGCCATCGCCAAGGTGAGTGAGTCCAATCAGATTTCCGGGGGCGAGGTACCTAGTGAAGTTACTGTAGCCATTAGAGAGCGAGTTAATCACCGTAGGATTGATGATAAGTCTATCCCACTCACGGTCCTTAGTGATGGCAAACACTCCTACAGCTTCACGCTCCTCGACAGCATCACAAGGAGTAAGAGCAAGGGCTCCAACGGCATCCCACTTAGCTGCAAGTTTCAACAACTCAGCTCGAGAGCAATGAACCTTTGCAGCACGCGTCTTGGGCCAGTCATGCGAAGGTTTCCTCAGTACGTTAGGGTTATTGTAGGCAGCTTTCACCACTGGGTCGGAGAGGTACTGGGCAGCGTCAAAAGCAGGCGGGTGCTCCCAACGAATGCGATCAGCTTGAACCTCTTTATACCGAGCACCTCCAGTCGTGGAACAAACCCCTAACTCGCCAGAAGAAGAAACCCTAGCTGACGAAACATGTTGGCTACCCCGGGACTCTAACTCGCAAGGAGGCTGGGGTCGAGGAATGTCGGAATCTCTACCTCCGTAGGGGTCGAACTCAGCATGCAATGCAGAAACAAATTCGGGAAGGTCCACACCTGAGGCCATGTTGGGATCTCTAGGTAGTTCCTGTGCAAGTCGGAGCAACTGAGCAAAGCGTTCCTCAGCTCGGCCTAAAGAAGCAGCTTCCAAAGGCGGCGCAGACACAAAGTGTTTTATGTGGCGCTCGAGAATGCTCTGCATGTCAAGTTGCTCGTCTGAAATTGCAGCTCCAACGCGCGCTTCGGGCGGGCACTCCAGCGGACACCCCAGAGACAACCAACTTAAGGTGGCAATCACACGCTGAAGCATGGCATGAATCAACTCATGAGTGCGCTGGCGGTGCCGGCGGCGCGGTGATAGCTTGTAGCCCGTCCATCTCCGGGGCGGGGGACAGGGCCAGAGAGTTTTGTTGCCAGGCTTTTGTGAAGCTGACTGTACGATGCAGGCGTTCGGGGAACTAAGGGCGGAGCGAATAAACCGATTAAGCCCAACCCTCGCGGAACCCGAAATACTTAAACAACTGTGCAACCAAATTTGGAACTCCAAAGGCTTATCTGGCAGGCCAGGGCAAAACTCATCCGGCCGCGACTTGTCGCTTGATAAAGCCTGGGCACCAACCGAAAAAGGCCCGGCAGGCAAATTAAATGCATCCAAGGATCCGGCCGGCTTCGCGGCGGAATCCGGTGGGCACGAGGCCCTAGTCACACTGTGCTCGGCACGAGCGGACTGCTGTGCGACCTTCGGCTGAAGGCCAGTCCCGCGTGATTCATCATGATGGCGGGGCTCGGGCGGCAGGGGACTCATCCCTGCGGCTTGTCGCCTGTGAACTTGGGCTTCCGGGGCGGCCGCCTGGGACGAGTGGCTTGCTCCTCCGTCTCGTCCTTGGGATCGGTGGTCTGATCGGCTCCTCCTGGGGTGCGGTTGCGCATGCGCGCCTCCAGAAAATCGACATCCTTCAAGAAAGCCACCTGAGCGGCTACCCAAGGAGCAGCGGACAGGCGCCCGTACGGGCGAAGATCGCCCTTCCGATGAATCAGGTGGCCTTGGTCCACATCCGGAAGGCCTCCCAGGAGCCACCCAAACTGAGTGCGGCCGCCGTCGACGGCGAACTGCTCCGCCATCACCAGGCCCCTCGCTGCCCAAAACTCGCCCCGTTGATTGCCGGTACGGCGCATGTCTTCCCACATGTGCCCCAGCAGAAAACTGAAAAGCTGCACCGTCTTGAGCTCCTTCAGGGGGACCTTCCTCTCGAGATAGTGGCGCATCATCGACGGCTCCTGATTCTCCCAGCCCAGCTCCGTCTGAGCCCGAGCGGCCACCGATTCGGCGAACTCCCGGGGGCGATCGAAGATCTTCAGGTAGGCATCGCGGGCTGCCATTCCCCTGGCGCCGGAGCTGCTGCCGCCGACGCTGTCCGAGCCGGAAGCCCCGCCCGAAAGGGCCGCAGCAATGGGATCCACGGCCTTCGGTGCCATCGCTTTCTCCAAGAGCTTCGCCTGAGTAGCCAGAAGTTGCAGCAAAGCGGGGCTGCCCTCGGGAATGTCCAAAACAGCTTCGGCCGCCCCCAGCTCCTCTTCCGCCAGCTCGGTCTCGGCGATCGTTGTGGTGTGCTTCCGCTCGGCCCGTTCGTGAGCAGCCAGACGAGAAGGAGCCGCTCCGGCAGCAGAGCGAAGCTTCTGCCACTCGTCGTCGGTCAGCGCCCCTCCCAAAGGCTCGGCAAACAAGGGCCGGGCCGACTTCAGAGCTCCAGGTCGAGCAGGAGGTTGCTGAGCGGCTGCCCGGACATTGGCCTCGAGTTCCCGAACACGACCGCGGAGCGCCTCGACTTCGGTGATCTCGGGGGCTTCGGCAGACTCGTGGTCCGGCTCCTCCTCCTCCTCGGCACCCTCCTCTGCGGTGGCGTACTCCGCAAGGCTCGCATCTGAAAGCATCTCGTTGACCCAAACTTCCGAAACTGCCACGGCACTGGGACGCAAGGGTCGGACCACAGCCTCGCCTGCTTTTAAAGTGATAAGTCGAAGGCCCCCGGCTGCTCGCGCGGTGCCCGAAGCGGCACGCCTGAAGAAGTCGAGGAAAGCCCAATCGAAGTCGGCGATCAAAGCAGAAGAGGAGCCTGTAGGCCGGCGTCGGGACGTCTCGGTCTCGACCGCGATGTTCTTGAAGACCGGAACGGCCCCCAAAGTGTCGTCTTCCTCCGAGACGGCTTCCTGAAGGCGAGACACCACCTCGGCAGTGTCGGGAAGAATCACCATGAAACCGTTCAGCCGGTAGCGAACCAAAAACGCTAAGGCTCGCCATTCTGGAGCCTCCCCTTCACCCAGCAAGTAAAGTACAGGCAGTGGTTGTCCAGCCAGGACCTCGTCCACTAACCGGCGCACGGTGGCCTGGTCGACCACCGGCCCTAGACTGCGGGTGGCCATGGGCAACCCGAGGCCGCGCAATAGGCTTCGGCTTCGGTTCGCGATGGGAATGCGTGGCTCACACTGTAGGGATCGAAGGTCTCGCCGCCAGCTCCTTGCACCAGTGACGAATACACCCGATAGCTGGTAGTGGTAAAACCCTGCAGGCGGCTGCGGCAGCGAAGGCAAACGTAGATGCGATTCGACAAGCCCACAGACGGTGAAGAAGACACTGCCGAGATCACACCAGACAGCTTGCGAGCAGCAGTGAGCCCAGCTCGAACAGCACGAGCAATACGAGCTCGAGCTGTCCAAGGTCCGCCTGCACCGGTCAAGCGCCTGGCAAAGTACTCGTGAGGTCCCAGATCGGCAGCCCCAAGTGATGTCGGAGACTCCAAAGTGATAAGTCTGTCCTCCCACGAAGCAGTCGCTTCCTCCGAAGCTGGGCTCGTAGCCCCAGCAAGGGGTACTCTGGCAAGCTCAGGGAGCTCGGTGGCCGAAGCAGCTGCCGCAGTAGCCGAAGCAGTAGCAGTAACTGGTCCGGAACTAGGGCGGCGCCGGATGGTGATAGAAAGGCCTTGGAAAGCAAACTCGAGCTCTTCAAGCTCACTGTCCGGAAGCCGCTCACCCATTCACTGATTGCGATATTCCCTGAAGCGCTGCAAACCGGTCGCAGACAGAGCCGCAGCTGGAGCAATAGGTCCCTCAAGGATGGTGGCTCCCCAGCGCACAATGTGTGCACAGAAGCGCCTGCACTGAAATGAAAGCAGCAAACAGGTGCCAAGAGCACCGCAGCAGCACCCAATCCAGAACAAGCAAATGGCCGCCAAGGCTAAGAGAGCGAGCGAAGGGCTATGGCAAGGAGCAGTAGAAAGTCTAAGCTCGCGAGCTAGGTCGGGGAGAACCGACCACATCAGCCGAAAGTTCTCAGAGGTCGAATGTGCTCATGCGGTTGGGATATATTGCAAACCCTAACAGCAATGGAAATAGCAACAACAGTAGCGCGTGAGAAGTCCTGGGGTTCTGGCGGTTGCAAGGAAGCCAAATCCTGCAAAGTTGTCAAGAAACTTGCCAGGTTTTTATGTTTAGCTCCTTTTTCCGCCTAAGGTGCAAGCCGTCGACGAAAGACTTAGGGATTAGGGCTAAGTGGCGAAACCGTCCAGATTGTGCAACTTTTTGGTCTCATGCTACCTGAGAGGCTGAGGTTGGAGGGCCTAACTCAGAACCCTGGACTCCAAAGCCGTTTTGACCACACCCCAGACCCTAAGCCTTACTTAAGGATCTTAAGGGCTTCCTAAACACCTAAACCTTGAACCCCGTGCAGGAACATGCAGGCCAACGTGAAGGGGTAGACGCTGCCCATAAAGGGCTGATGGGGACTGCCACCAGCCTGAGTGTCGGCTGAGTTTCAGGAGGTGGGGCCAGTCAAGACTTTAAGGTTTTTCTGGCATGAAGATGAGGAGTTGGGACAAAAACGACGAACGACGCAACGATGGCAGCGACAGACCGCCACCACGACGACGATGCTGGAGACGACCACGGTGCCGGTGACGACCACGACAACGACGGCCGGACAAGACGGGAAATGGAGATCCTTCACGACCACCGACGCCAACACCTTGTAACACCTTCATGTCGCAGCTGTAGAACAGATCTGGCCTGATCCTCTCATCACTGTCATCCTCGTCCTTCAGCTAAGGTTTCTACAAATCCAGACGCGATTCAAAACCTCAAAAACCAAAACGCACTAAACCTGAAACCTGAAACCCTAGACCCTCAAAGGAACCCTCAAACGTGGAACCCTCAAAGGAACCCTCAAATGTGGAACCCTCAAAGGAACCCTCAAATGTGGAACCCTCAAAGGAACCCCCCAAACCCCAACAACCGTCCCAGCCTCACAGAGGAGACGCAGGCCCTCGGCATTGTCAGCCATGGCCGCTGCACATGCCGGATAGCCTCAAGGGTTTAGGGTTTAGGGTTTAAGGGTTTAGGGTTTAGGGTTTAGGGTTTAGGGTTTAAGGGTTTAGGGTTTAAGGGTTTAGGGTTTAAGGCTTAGGGTTTAGGGTTTAGGGTTTCAGAGTTCTGGGTTTAAGGGTGTTTTTCCCTCCTACCTAGCAAGGACGAAGCCCGCATTGCAGGGAGTCTTGGAAGCAACAGTTGTACAACAGCTACGAATTCGAACAGTGTAGGCGACCAGAGCAGAAGTGGTTTAAGGGTGTAGGGTTCAGGGTTTGAGGGAGTAAGGATTTAAGGTTTAAAGTCGAACTGTGCTAAGGGGTCAGTATGTAATTTTTAGGGCTTAGGCTTTAGGGTTCAGGGCGCACTTTTCCTACTTGCTCAGGTCGCCAAAAGATGGGCTCCAGGAACGCTCGAACTCAACGCTTCGGCAGCCTTTCTTCTCTACCGCCAGATCGTTCCTGAACTCCGAAAACCCACCCGCGAAGGCTTTGCATGGCGAAAAACAACGAAGGACACATGGACTCATAACTTATACTGCCTGCGATCTGTACAACAACGAGAAGGACTGTGAGTGGAACTGGCCCCTTACCTCTGCAAGGAAAGTAACGACGAGAGGGACAAGAGATTCCGTCAACCGCAATACTCTTCTGCGTGTGCTGGATTCCCTCCGTTACCCTGCTACACCAAATGCGAGTAAAGAAAGAAAACCCAAAGAATCCTAAGAGTTTAGATTAGAGGTGTGTGGTTCAGTGTCAAGGGTTTAGTAGGTTCGTCGGCCAGCGGCCAGCGGAAACGTGTAGGACTAGGATGAACGAACCACCTGATGGCTCCGCAGTAGAACATGTCACAGCGGAGTAGCTCTGAAATAGTCTGAAACCATAACTGGCTAGCATCAATAAGACTATCCTTCCTGTCGTTCTGCTCAAGTACTGCGATCCCTGCCTCCAGCTGCGTCTGTGCGCGTCATATTGATGATGACTTTCCCGAAGCTGTTTACGGAGATAATGAGGATGTTCTCGACGATGACGATGACGATGGCGATGGCCATGACGATGATGATGGTGATTTTGATGATAACCATGGTGGTGATCATGCCGCTCTTGATAGCGCAGGCAAGGACGGCCGTTGTTTTGCTCTTATCAGGAAGTGATACAGACCGAAATCGTTAGTGATTTCGTGAAGCCGTATTTTCACTTCTAGTGCTCCTAACGAATACTTGCAAGTGTGGCATGGATCTAAGCAGCATCGCTTCCATCACATACCTTTGATATGACTGAGTGTCTTCTTGGGTCGTTTGTGACCCAAATGAAACAAGTACTTTCAATCACCCCTCGGGCTCACAGAACATGACTCCGGCCTCGAAAGGAGTCGTCCACCCGTGCCCGGCCGGCGATAAGCCTTGGCTCGAGCTACAAGCGCTTTTCAAGGGTTCACTAAGGCTCAAGATAAGCAGGACTGTGTACGGTTCTATAGGATCCAGGATACCGTAACAGTTACCACAAGGGTCTTATGGGATTCTGCAATGTTGACTTTCACATTCACTCCAGCGGCAACACTCACAGAGGTGCAGTTGTCGCCTTTGGTACGGCTGAGGGTTTTAGGATTTTGGACCTCGGCAGTCACACCCGGATATGCCAGGCCGGGTTTTTGGGTTAAGGTCTAGTCTTTTCAAAGTTTGGGCTCTGGGGCTTAGAGTCTGACAGCCGCGCTCACACTCGGCGAAGCCAGCCAAACACTGTCACGACGGTCCGACAAGGTGGACGCATAAGGTCAGGGCTTGATCGTCTGGGATCTATGATCCGGGTTTCAGGTAGCAGGTAGGGCTGTGGAGGGCGCAGGGTTGCGGGGGGAGGGATCTCACCCAGTCCAGGGCAAGTACAGGTCTCAGAATCAAAGCCTCGCACCCCTCGGGTCAAACCTAGGAGTGCGGGGTTCAGGTTTGCTGTTTAGGGTTTAGGCTGGAGGCTTCAGGGTTTAGGGTCTGTAGGGTTTAGGGTTTAGGGTGCACAGGGTGTGATACGATTTCAGCTTCGGGGTTTCGAGGTTTTGCACCCATTGCTGAACGAGGCAGGAGGCAGGGTGAAGAGCTCATGGTCTAGGGATGGTTCAGGGTAAAGGCGGTTGAGGGTTGAGGGTTTAATTAGGGTTTAAAGTTTAGAGGTCAGGGTTTAGGGCTTTTTGGCTTAGAGTTTTCGGGCTCGGGGTTTCGGCGCTCACACTCGGACAATCCAGGCGAGGCATATGGTTCGAAGTCTGACAAAGTGAAACGAACTAAACGAAGTAGTCGAGATGACAAGCAACAATACTTAGGGTTTACATTTCTCCCCATGAGCTACACGACACGCCCGCAAAAGTGCCACGCAACATCCAACAACATAGAAGCCTGGCCTTCTTACGCATTACGGAGCCGATTACAACGACTCCTAGGAATCACACTACGAATGACTCTAGCCCTCTTTTTGGCTCAAGGACAGCGGCCCATGCACAACGCCCGAGCCGTAACCCAAGCGAATAGAGTAGAGACTTCAATCAACCGGTCCTAGGGCTAGGCCCTCAAGCTTTCTGTCGTGGACAGCTACTGTGCTGGGAGTAACTGTTCAGTCTCTTCCTTCAACCGGAGCTCAAAACCACCAGAAGTCAGAGAGGGTCCAGCAGGAATCATTCATCTAAGCCGAGCCATGCTTTGCATCCCAGCGGCGTACGGCAAGCATCGTTGTGCTTGTGAAAGAGGCACATGTTTAAGGCCGAATCCCCGCGGCGAAACCCTGTGACTGGATTTTCTTTCCTAGGCAACGCGCGGGCAAGGAAATGGCTGTTCGGTTGTCGGGTCGTGGCTTTGCTGTGCCTGGTTTCTATATATGTCTAATATATATATATATATATACATATGACCAAGCCCTCGGCGTTGGGAGAAACTTGTGCAAAACTCTGGATGTAGGCTGGGCTAAAGGCTTATTGTAAAGTGAGGCCGGTTGTTTGCAATACTATCTTCCTGGCCGAACCCAGTTGAATCAGCGTTCCCAACGCCGGCTTGGATGCGCGCACACGATGAATGAAGGCCCGTGGCATTAATTCAGACTTGTAGCTTTGCCTAAGCCGCAGTTTCGGACAGGGAAAAGTAGAAGTAGAAAAAGAAGTAGAAGTAGAAAAAAAGTAGAAGGATAATTAGAAGTAGTAGTCGTGGTCGTAGTAGTACTAGTAGTCACAATACTGCTAACAATAACAACGATAACAATGAGAATACATGGTAATACGCATAATACTAATAACAAGTATAATATGTTACCCAAGATCAGTCCCCGCCTGGTCTTTGCATTGGGGTTCGCCCGCAGCGCCAGCAAGCCTTGAATCAGCTCCGTGTCCCCTCGGATCGCGGCGTAGTGCAACGGCGACCAGCCCATGCTGTCCACCTCCTTGACACTTACGAAGCCATTCTGATGGAAGAATCGCGGCACGACATCAAAGCTGGACTCCGACCCAGAACCGGCCGGGCTCGGGAGGTCAGGTATGAGCTCAAGCTCTTGGAATCGAGGGAAGCCCCTCATGCGAACGGTCTGGAGGTTCAGTAGCCCACGGTAGCCAGCCAGATCGCGATTCCTCAGCCTGAGAAGCAACGTGCGCTTGAGGGCACCAAGGAGAATTGGTGCGAGCCGATGGCTGTCCTCCGAACCACTCGTCCCCTCTAACACCAAACTGATATTATAGACTCACCATGACTCATCAATGCTAAAAAGGAACCCTAAGCACGGTCACCGAAACGCCTATGTAAACCCGACCCAAATCACGAGGGAGGACCCAGAGAGCTGTGGTCCTCACTGATTGTGAACTGGCCTTCACCGGCGGGCCCACCCAAGGTGGAGGCTGCATCCGACACGAAATCGATTTCCGTGGCGCTCCGGATGATCATCCAAGTATGGTCTAGGGAAAGCTCGCGGCAGGTCTTCTCAACACGGCACCAGCCTCGCTCCTCAGTTTTCGCTTCCCCGAGCTGTTGAAGGCTTTCCTTTCAGAGTGCTGGTTTGGTTGAGGTGACCTGTTCTGTCTACCAGCAATGGCCGTTTTGAGGCTTCAAGGTTGAAGGTGGAGGGTTTGGGTTTTGGGATTCGCGGTTCCGGATCTGCACAAAAAGGCTTTGCTCGGCTCTTGAACATGCATCGGCCCAGGTATACTGTGTGAATAGCCGGGACAAGGCATGGTTGGCAATCACGGGGCAAAGGACGAAGAAGAAAGTGCATCGGGCGATGTATCCTGGAATGTTGTCAATAGCCGACTGCAGATCACCTTCTTCCTCTTGGCATTGTGGATTCTGGGGGCATGAGAAGAAATCGTACCAGAGGAACAGTGGCATTGAGAATAGCTTCTTGGTCGGCAAGCCCCTACAAGCCGGCATTGCCACCTCCGTGATGAAGCTGGGATGCACCACCTGCACCTCGGACATCAAGCGTCTCAGCGCAAGCTTCAGAACCTGGCTCGGTCCCAAGCACAAAGCACCGGTCTTGCATTAACACCACATCAAAGATCTCGATTCCTCCAGAAAAGTTCTACTTATGAGACATAGAATCTTCAAGCTGCTCACCGTTTGGATCCGGATGCTTGTCCCCGATCCACTGGTGTGAAATAAACGCAGCGTTTCCCAACTTAGCTTCGTGTTTGACGAGAACTCCTGGGAAGCCGTAGAGGGTTAGGGAACCTTAAGCCGTAGGCTTTGGGGATTCGTAAATGTGACGGGTGCACATTTCGGAACCCCTTCATCCCGTCCTTCTGCCTTGAGCTCCTCGTGTGGACGGACCCGTGTCATCTTCAACACCTAGTTTGTAGTTTCGGGGCCCTTAAAAGTATTTATGAATAGGTACCTCTATAGGAACCATAAGGGAATTCAAAAGTTTCCCAAAGTGCCACCTAGACACGTCCTCCAGCGGCACTGTGTACATTGGGAAGGACAGCTCTGTGGCCGGACCGACGCCTCGCAAAAGAAGTGAGAAGCTTAGAGGGGTATCAGGCTACCCAGAGAGCCCAGTACCCCTTAATTAAGGTATATACTTTAAATTATAAGGGGGTTCATATCACGATTTCAGCTAGATTCCTTAATTAAGGGGTATTGGGCTCTCTGGGTACAGGCTTTTTCCTCAAGCAGTGTTGCACACCCTGGCAAAGAGTCATGGTGAGTCTGCATGCGAGGGGCGCCAGCTTCCGATAATGTACGCAGGCTCTTTTGCGGCGTCGCAGGGAAGCCAAGGACTCTTGGGTACAAGTACAGGGTCTAGGAGTGTCCATTCCAACGCATCTGTGATCGTGCCAGCACTTGGGCAAAACGCATTTTGCCCGTCCGAATCAAGCCAAGAATAGGGCGTAAGCATTTTTGTTCAAGGCCTTGAACCTGGGGGAAAGCATCGTGTGGGCATGCTCCTGTATCCTCCCGTGCCTGGGTGAAGCATTTTGGCACAGGAAACTAGCCGAAAATCAGGATGTTTTGGCCCATGCCTTTTGTGGTTTTGCCGTGCCTGCCGGGAGCCCCGGCTTATGGTTAGGGCTTGCGGGGCTTGGGCTTATTTTTCGTTTGAAATATTTTCCTGCCTTGCCGAATTAATGGACGGGCAGGGTTCATAGGCAAATCCAAATAAATTCTGCATGGATTTAGGGTTTGGGAATTACTGCCTAGTTCTCTAGGTTGGGTCTCTTTTTGAAGTCCAAAAAAATATTCCGGCACCCTGTTGAAAAAGGTTCCTGAAAGGGACCTCATTTAGAGAACTACCCAACATGGTTTTGTCAAACGTTGAGCGGGTTTTGCCTGTTCTTTGGCGTCTCTTGCCTTTAGTTAGCAGGGAATGGAAGAATGGTAGTAACTTTTGGTAGTTATGGTAATTATAATTGTACCCCATTCCTCCTTTCCTTCTAACCAAAGGTAAGCCATAGGATTATTAGTAGCTTATTCTAATACCCTTATAGTAGCCATTATAGACCCCTTTATAAGGCCCCTTTCAAACCGAAGGTAAGTTCTTCGCTCAGCTGTTTGGGGCTCTTCGCACGCAGAGCCCGGGCTGAGCCTTCCCCAGTGATTAGTTAGAATAATAGCCCAAAGAGTCCAAGTACCCAAATAGGAGGGTTTTAAGCCCCAAAATTCATGCTCTGAGTGGTTTCTGGACCTTGAAACCCTACTATTTGGGTACTTGGACCCTTGCGGTAGTAGTACCAAATAACAACAACAATCGTGATACTGATGACAAGTGGTGTTGCAATAATAGCAATCATAGCAACAGGAGTAATGACACCAATAATAATAACAATAATAATAATAAGACTAATACTAATACTAATACTAATACTAATACTAATACTAATACTAATACTAATACTAATACTAATATTAATACTAATACTAATACTAATACTAATACTAATGCTAATACTAATACTAATACTACTAATACTAATACTAATACTAATACTAATACTAATACTAATACTAATACTAATACTAAAACCAATACTAATACTAATACTAATACTAATACTAATACTAATACTAACACTAATACTAATACTAATGCTAATGCTAATACTAATACTAATATTAATACTAATACTAATACTAATACTAATACTAATACTAATACTAATACTAATATTAATACTAATACTAATACTAATACTAGTACTAATCCTAATCCTAATCCTAATCCTAATCCTAATCGTAATCCTAATCCTAATCCTAATCCTAATCCTAATCCTAATACTAATACTAATATTAATACTAATATTAATCCTAATCCTAATCCTAATCCTAATCCTAATCCTAATCCTAATCCTAATCCTAATCCTAATCCTAATCCTAATCCTAATCCTAATCCTAATCCTAATACTAATACTAATACTAATACTAATACTAATACTAATACTAATACTAATGCTAATGCTAATACTAATACTAATACTAATACTAATACTAATACTAATACTAATACTAATACTAATACTAATACTAATACTAATGCTAATGCTAATACTAATACTAATACTAATACTAATACTAATACTAATACTAATACTAATACTAATACTAATACTAATACTAATACTAATACTAATACTAATACTAATACTAATACTAATACTAATACTAATACTAACAATAATAATAACAATAGTAATAATAATAATATTTAATGATAATAATAATGATAATAAAAATAAATATAATAATAACAATGCTGGGCGGCCGGGCCTGGGCTGGCTGCTGGGTCGGACTGGGAAGGGCTAACGTCAAAAAAAACTTCTACGTATGCTTGTCTTGCGGGTTTTTTCCCTCCTACCTAGCAAGCACAAAGCCCGCGATTTCTTGAGGGTTTATAGTTTAAGGTTTTTTTGAACCCCTTTTTTCGGGTTTCTGGCTGAAGGAATTGGCGTGAACTGTCGCGTGGGTGCATGCTAGATTCATGCAAACCTTGTTCTCAATGTTCTCATAACGAGTCTTACAACCGAAAAGTTGGCGTGCGGCACACAAGGGCACCAGCAGGAACTCAGGGTTAAGATGGGTTCAGGGTGACCTGCACTGGCCAACTGACTCCTCTGTCGCCAAAAACCAGGAAATCCGTTTTGCGCACCCAGCCTTCATCGAATCGGCCTCGCAAAGACTCCGCGTACTTCACGAGCGGCGTTGATGCTGATGCTTGTCTCCCGGCATTGCACCATGGCATGTATGACAACCCTAATGCTGTACTCTTGTGCAATCCTGTGGATTGTTGCTCCTTCTTGCAAGGGGGTTTTTAGTAAGTGGAAAATATGTAGATTCAAATGTACCCCACAGGGTACCCTAATTGGGGTTATGATGCTTCTAACCCTGTACAGTAAGTACTTACTAAGTGCCGACCCTCCAACTCGGGTTTCTGGAAACTCTTGGCTGTCAGGGGCCGCAGGAGCATCACTCGGGACAGGTCTCTCTGAGCAGGCTTCAGCAGGGGATCCCACGCTATTCATAGTAGTCACAATCGTAGCAATAGTAACAACAAAAAAAGCAGTCACAGTAATCATAGCAATAATGGCAACAACAGTAATACTAGTCATAGTTTTCGTAACAGCAACAGTAGTAACAATAGCAATAATGGCAATAATAGCAATGACAGTGGTAATGACTTCGAAGATTGCACTTAGCAAAGAATATGTACACACTATGTACACATTTCTCGACATCATCTTTCTCACAAAGGCAAACAAATCACGATGACGGCCGCTGCTGTAAATACATTACATTACAGTACATTACGTTGTGCATTGTGGAAAAAACTTCGTGACATCTGTCAACGCTTCGCATAAAATTGCTTGTAAACTGTTACTTGTGTGGTGGTGCGAACACCCTGGAATTTCACATTCCTGGCCGGTGGCCGGCAAGCATTCAGGAGGGTTTGCCGGCGGTCAAGACTTGGAGTGTATGGAGTCAATTGAGAAACGGTTGCATGACTTGTCTGCAAACCAGCCAGGGTTAGGTGTTTGGGGTGTAAAGTGTCAGCATTGAAACTCCGCAAAACTGCAAAAAAATAGGTAAGCAGGAGTGCCCCGTCTGCCCTGCAATTGCATGGCAAATCAAGTTGAATGAGATCAAAGCTCCAGTACAGGCTGCAGCTTGCTGCAACTAGCTGTGGCACTACATATACCCAAAAATCCAGCATCTTGGCAGATGTGCCCTCGCATAAATGTGGTTACTTCTTTTGCATGTTGATGCGTTCAGGCAGAAACGGGCAAAAGACCTAAGGCATATTGGGCTCTTGGGGTACCAACATCCAGATCATGTGTGGTCAAGCCCTTTGTCCGAAATGCACACACCAAACCAGCCTCAAACAACTTGGGCGACATATTGTCACGTGTTTCCGACCCCTGCTGAACACCATGCCGCCGCACATGACGCAGCCGTATGGGGCACCCTTCAGAAGGCTTGTTCGGGCACCACCGCGGAGGGCCTGGGCCGATGCCCTCACAGTGCTCCGCGAAAGGTGCCCGAATGTGCCCGACTTATATGGACTGGGCCGTCCGCTGCCTCGTTGACGCGCGAGACCAGCATGCCTCCGCTCCCGTGAGTTGCTTGCGAAGGCTGGACGGACTTGCCTTCCTGGGAGAGCCCGCCCACCCGATCGACCTCAAGGGATCGCCGAGCCCCGTGAAAGGAGGCATGGGTGGCAACACTCTGCGTCCGTACACGGAACCTTTTCTTCCGCGACCAGGTGCGGCTGCCTTCTTTGCCACATCCCCACCACGCGCTCTTGCGTTCCAAGGCTAATCTGCATGCCGGCGCGTGGCTCCAAGCCATCCCCAGCGAGGATCGCTGCCATGCAGATCGCATTGCGTCGCAGGCTCCGGCTTCCACTCCCGCTCGCGCCTGGCCGTTGCGGGAGCGCCTCGGAACCTGGTTGCGGCCGACGCGCTGATGCACTCTGAAACCACACGCTTGCATTTCCGCGGACAGGCCTCCTGGCTTTAGGCGACCCAAACTTGTTGAACGGGCTTGGTGCAAAGTTGCTCGCGAAGCCGTAGGGCCTGAGGGACACGTGGTGCGCCAATAATGGCTCGTCAACACCACTGCGCCAAGCATCGCCACCGACGGGCTGCACAAGATGGAGCAGTTTTGCGCACCGCTTTGCGACGCAAGAATGCCACCGACCCCGAGCTCGCTGCAGGCGGCACGCAGACCCTGTGAATGCTCGGTTGTGAACTGGGTGGGCGGTGCAACGCAGGCGCAGTGCAGCTGGTTAGACGCTTCGTTGTCCTCCGCGCGCACAGAGCGCGAAAGCAGCGTGGGCCCGCCGCTGGTGGAGAATGTTTTTTTTTTTTTTTTCGGACCTTTTTGCAAGTCTCCAGGCGCGGTCCCAGTGCAGCAAGCTACCGGAACCAACCAAAAGTCCAGAACCAACCAAACCCCCAACCTCCTAAGAACGAAGCGAAGCTCACCCCATGCGGGAGGTGAGAGGAGGCGCCTCGGACGAGTCGGCAAGGACATCGCTCAAGAGAGGAGCCTCGCCATCGAGATTGGCCGTGTTGGAAATCGGAAGGGACAGCAGGCTGGCAGCGAAGGAGCGTGCAGCGGCGATGGAGAGAAGCCCAGACCATCGTGCGACAAAGGCGGCGACACACGCTGCACGCTGGGACGCGGCGGCACTGCGTGCTCGCGCCCGCGCGAGCAACCGAAGGAAGTCGGCAGCTTCGGCACTCCAGCGACCACCAACTTCAAGACCGAGGACAACCAGGCGACACCGACGGGCGTCGGCGAACTCAGGGTAGGTACGTACTTTGGCCCTGCGCGCCTCGGCCAAGGCCGCCCCGGCAGTGCTGCCGCGCCGGCGCCGGGGCGCACCAGCAGAAGTAAGTGGCGAGACGAGCGTAGTGTCAACGGCAAGCTGCGAGCCTCCCCACAACGGCAGCCCATTGGCGATCACCTCGATGCGGCGCTCATCATGCCTGGATGCCTGCAGGTTCAGGTCTCGAACTAGGACGTGTGTGGCGACTGCAGCACCGGCCTCACAGCAGACCCGAGCCGCTGCACGTTCGAGCGGTCCACCTCGTGCCCTGAGAACGCCAGACCGAGGACAGGCAGCGATGTGGTCACCCAGGGCATCCTGCGGACGCCCACAGCGGCATCGCGCAGGTGCAAGTGGCAAAGGGAGCCGCAAGCGACGGAGGAGTAGGACCCGGAAGAGCGCAGAGTCGAGGGCGAGCTCAGGAGCAACAGGTCGGACAGTGAGCAACCTGGCGGCGAAGGGGCCGGATTGTGAGTCGAGGAGTGCGAGTTCAGCAGGCCCGACGGCGCGGCGGTGCGCGACCGAGGCATGATCGTCGAGGGCGCGGGATGCAGAGCGCTGCCAGCCGCGGTAGGGGACATCAGGCTCGGCATCGTCAGCGGCGGGCGCCGGGCCAGGCTGGGGCAAGTCGGCCCACCGTGGGACCGCAAAGCCAGCCTCAGCAAGGGCGTCGGAAGCTTGTACTAGGTCCTGCACAGGCGACCAGTCAACGACACGGGCTTGCACCAAGGAAGTAACAAGCGCGGCGTCCCGTACACGAAGGACGGCGACTGCGTCAGCCCAGGACGCCCAGAACGCTGCAGGCGCGTGCAAAGCAGCACTGCGCAATGCTTTCCGTGGCCGTCCAACAAGCCGTGGGCCGCACAGTGCTAAGGCGTGCCCGGGCCATGCTGGGACCGGCGCATGCCGATATGCCGGCCCTGGATGAAGTCTTGGACTTGGCGGACCCGGACGGGCCGAGCTGCCTGTCGCTGCGATGAGTCGACCTTAACCAGGGACCGACTATTCTAAGGTCGTTTCTGTTGTTTGGAGCCGGGCACAGCCGCTGGTGGAAAAAGGTGAGAAGAAACAATACCCAGCTTCTTCTCGCCTTCCAATGTTAACAGCATTGAACCCTAAACTCCTACAAAACCTCAACCCTCCGATGGGTGAGCCGCCCCTTCGTCAGGCACGCGTCGACTTCACCACGCTTCGAGCAATGGTTCACACGTTTATCTTGAAACCTCGAACCTATAGGCATGCACACCATACGGCAACATTTCATTCAGTGGCCTTTGCCCATCATAATTTTGTAAAAACCGAATTGATCCTGGAATCCTGGAGTTAGCTGCTTTTCAGCCTTTCGTTTCGGTTTTCGTAGCTGTACCTGAGCATTGCACCCAACTAGCGATGAGCTTTGTGGTGGACCGCCGCCAAATTTTCAAATCGGTGGCAACAGCAACCCTCCCCAGGTGCGTTTCCTGGAGCAGGATAACGTCGTCTGGCTGGGCCTGGAGCCATTTGTGGACTTCTGGACTATGCCGATGCAAATCTTGCACAAGCAGAACTATGGACATTTCTGAAGGATGCTCGAGTACACACATCAACAAGTTAACAAGGCTTGCGAAAATGTTCGTGGAGATGTTCGAGGACCTACCAACTTGTGGTTGGTGTCAGTGAGATACATCCAACAATCGGAGGCTGCAAGTTCGGGGACCGTCATCGGTTGTACATTTCGCTAAAGCATGGAGGTTTTGGCAGGCCGCCTATATGTACCAAATTTTTGTCCCTCCACCGGAATTTCCGACGGTCAAAGAGGTCCCAGTGCACCTGCGAACTACGGTGCTGCAACGGCTCAGTGAGCTGGTGCATCGAGCATCGTTGGATTTTTCCTCGGTTGGCCATTGGCAGCCGTATCATACATGAGGATATCAATCGATGGGATCCACAGGGTTATATTCAGTATTGTTGCAAACTCCCCGAACAGGCCGATGCTTAAGAATTTGCGGCAAATAACTGGAAGAGAATCTGCGCCTGAAATAAGCAACGATCCCTCCCAGTGCCGAGCCCGCAACAGGACAAACTTCCGGAGGAGGCACCGCAGCAGAGTCGCCCAGCAGAGGCGAACCACTGTCGACATTACCTGCGGCAGCAAGCCCGAGCGGAGGAACATGCATAGGCAACGGACTCAATCCCTGGCAATCCCAAGACGTATGCAAGTCCTGGATGGCTTAGCGGCCGATAGCTGAGGGACCTTGCAAGTTAGCGGCGGAGGCAGCTGGTGGCACACGCAATTGGCGGCCTCAGCATGCCATCGCACACCTATTTCCCTGGGCCGGAACAATGAATCGGTAGCAGCAAAACGCATGGAATGTTCCTGTTATTTTTGTTTTTTTCCTGTTCTTGTTGTTTTTTTCGC